CATGTGGAATACTGCTGGATAAGCAACGTGAAAAAGGGAAAATAGTTTTTTTCCTTTATTTTTGCAAAACCTTTTTAATATAAYGAACCCACATCTCATCGGGCACTGTACCTTTCAACAGAGAGAAAAATTCTTTTTAWAAATTCACATATAATTGCATTCCACAAAACCCACCAAAACTAATTAATTAATGTCATGGTTAGTACAGGACTTATCTGAAGCCCTAAATCTGGCTGATGTGTGCAGAGCTGCAGGCAGATTGCTGCTTCCTCCACATGTGCAGCTCTCAGGCTCCCCATTGGCAGAGGGGGAGGAATCATTTGCCCAAGAATTGTTCTGCTCCTGTCTTTTTGTTTCTTCCACAGTCTCTGGGGCAGCAATTCCAGCACCTCTCCGGTGTGCTGAGACAAGGGCAAAACCCCTCACAACCCCAAGACCCTCAGGGGTGTCAGAAGAGGTGGCAGGGAGAGGTCACAAGGCTGGTAACAMGGAACGATCGATTAATCTGATCACCTGTCAGGGAGTTTCCATTTGCCTTTGTGTGGATGATTCCCAGGCTTTGCCTTGCTCTGCTCATGGATTTTGAGGCTGTCTRGAAACACAAGAAAGCTGAGAGAAAATATCTTTGGTACTGAAAATTAACATTCCTTCCCCACYTGACTTCTTGTTTTCCTGTTTTCATGAGACTCTTCTTACACCAGCTGCACTGAACTTTCCGCCCCAGCCTCAGCATTCCCAAAAAACATCCCCTCAGCACAGAGACCAGAGTGCCACTTCCAAAAAAATGCCTGTGTTTCCTGCTGCTGTTGCTGTGCTTGTCATGCCAGATTGTCCCTCAGGAATCTTGGTTTGCTTGGTTTTGTCTGTGTTATGCACATTAATACCGGGCACATCSCAAATACCACAGCAAACAGGAACTAGTCAAATCCTATTTTCCAAACCTGACTTTCCTGGCAGTGCAATACTGAGGTGTCCCACCAAGATCTGCTCAAGCCATCCAAGTTGTGACTTTCTGATCTGAGTTTGAGAGACYCCACATGGACAACTTCCCTGTGCCTGATCAGCACACAAGACCTCCCTTCCTCAGCAGCATCGGGCCTGGGCATCCACACTTTGGAGCACGCTGCTTCCCATGGCTTCTGATGCTTCTGCTCACTGTTGGGAAAGACCCRAACTGGCTTGATCTCTACATAAATAAAATTAACCCAAATTATCTTAAAATATCCTTGTCACAAGGGTAAGGGAGCAAAGAAAGGGCAGTGGGGAAAGGAAATAGCGTGATGTGGAGGGGCAAGAGGGAAGAAACACGAGACAGCTCCTGCCACTGCAGCTCCTGCCACTGCAGCTCCATATCTCTGCAGCAAGGTGTTCTGCAGGCTGATCTCCATAGCTGAGCTTAGTGCCCAGCCTGAATGTTCCTGGCTCTTGCCCAGCCTCTGTACACCATAACCAATGCAGGAGAAGCTGTGGCTGCCCTGGATCACTGAAAGTGTCCAAGGCCAGGTTGGATGGGGCTTGAAGCAACTTGGGATAGCGGATGGTGTCCCTGCCCAGGGTAGGATGATCTCTAAGGTCCCCTCCAACCCAAATCATTTTGTGATTTTTTGTCATGCTGTTTGTGGAACTCCTCAAGGAGMAGACCCTCCATTTGTCTGGCATGCCGAAGCTTTGCTGCAAAACAATGGCACATACTCATACCACAGCACCTGCAGGGAGGGAGGGCCACCTGCAACAGAGATGGWTGTTTGAGCTGCTTCATTGTCCACAACAGAACACAAATGAATTTGATACCGTGACAATCAAAATTGTGAGTTTATTTACACACATTTTCATATGACAGTATTTTCAAAGGACAGGTATTACACAGAAAAAGTTGGTGGAYTCGTGACAAGCTTTGGATTTTTGAAACTTAAATATTATACAAAGACTTGAACAAAATAATATCCCCTCTAATACCAGTACAATGCTCATTTGGAGAGGGGCAAGGGAGATCTGTTGCACTCCAGTCAGTATTGCTTTTGGTCTGGTGAGTGTGGTGAGAGAGGTGGGCAATTGGCCATGGCATAGACAGGGCAGGGGCACACAGGAGTTAATCTCTTCTCCTTGACTCTGAGGATTTGGAAAGCTAGGGAGCCCCGGCTGTGCCAGGAGAAGTCCTGGTGGGGGAAGGTCCATGGCTGCCCAGGGTTTTTGAAACATGGGATGCTTACCCCAGGCAGCAGGGTAAGGACAATCTGCACCTAAAAATGCACTGGCCACTGGAGAGCCCTTTGAGGGCAGAGTGCATCAGTGCTCTGCTTCTCCTACTCCACCTGTCCTCCTTCAATTTTAATGGTGCCCTGCCTCTCCAAAACCAGCTCTGCCTGACAGAGCTTTCCTTTCCCTGACCAGGTGCCATTTTCTATCACTGAGTGTTGTGGATTAAGGTTTCTCCTTTTGTTTCCTTTCTTGGGATTTTTTCTTTCCCATTTTGTTGCTGGGATACACTGATTGCCAGGTCATCCTTTTGATGGCTGGGCGATTGGTGAAGATAATAAGACCTATGCCCCACCCGAACGATCTTGCTAAGTACTGGGAGGGAGTGCGTGTGTGGGTGTGGCAGGGGGTAACTATATATCCTGCCCTGCTTGGCTCAGAGAAGGAGGTTGGCCTGTTATCTGTGAGGGGGGAGCTTGTCTGCTCTTTTCTGCAGAGCTCAGCATCTCCACTTGTTAGTTCCTGTCTGCTGCACTGTGATCTTCTGCCCCTGTGCCTTGCCTGGGACCCCTGAGATTTGTGCTGCAGTGGTTGAGTTCTGCTCCATCCCATCTTGCAGCCGCGAATTCTGCTCATCTCTTTGCTCATCTGGCTGTTCTGGAGTTTCTTGCTGTCCAGAGGAGCACTGAGATCGGGGTTTCCACTGTCAGTTTGCAGAGGAACTTCTCCCCATCCATCTCTGCCGTTCTGTGTCCACCATTGGCCACTGGGAGATCTGAACCAGCCGGGACCCGCCCCACAGCGCCCCCTGCAGCCACTGGGGAATCATCGCACCCGCCCTGCCCGGCCAGGAGCCAACAGCGCCCCTGCTGGCTGGGACTGGAACTGCACCAAAGGGGAGGGTGTGTCTCTGTGAGGCTGTCATTGGGTTTGTGACTGGGTTGGTTGTTGCTATCGTTGTTGTTACTTGTTTCACCTTGTCATACATATTAGTAAAAACTGTTATTCCCTTTTACCCATATTCTTGCCTGAAAACCTGTGATTTTTCAAAGCTATAATAATTTGGAGGGAAGGGGGGGTCCCTGCCTTCATTGGCAAACACCTGTCTTTCAAACCAAGACACTGAGGTACGGAAGAACTTTCCAAAATGGCTGAGAACACTGGRTACTACAGGAGCCCTTCACACTCCATCTGATTCTTTGCAAAAACTTACAAACCCCTCAGTGTTTTTGATGTTCATGAAAGAGACRCAGGTTTCCTTGTAGGATGTTTACTGAGACCTGACACCCTTTCCTCTCTGGGACCAGTCCTGTTGAGTCGGGTGGCGGTGAAAAGAGACTGAGATGGTCTGGGCAGAGTCTCCAACAGGCACCCAGGGCGCGACCCTGCTGGCCGACACTCAGTGGCACTTTCAGACTTTAGGCCCCAGCTGAGAGAGCTCCCAGCTGAGAGGTACTGGCAGAGCTTCAGGATGCTGGTCACCGCCCCTGGGGATGGGGGACCCGAACCTGCTGGCCCATCTATGGCAGCAGTGGCTGCTCTGTGCCCAGGCTGACCTTCAGCAGGCCCACACCCATGCCCTTGTCCTGTGCCAAGCCACACTGGCAGYGACCAAACTAACCACCCTGCCCACCCCAGCAGCCCCTGGCTCACCTGGGGTGCTGGCAGCAAGGCCCCTCCAGCCCGTTACTGGGATCCATGGGACACTGATGGGAACAGACTGGCACAGCCCAGGGGCCAGAGCCTCTCCATCACCCTGTGGCAGGAGAGCAGCGCTGGCTCCTGCCCTGTGCCCCTTGGGGTGCTCAATGAGCCCACGTGAGCAGCAGTGCCCAAAGCCACCTGGCACTTTGTTATCTGTGCTCCAGAGGGGAACCAGCCCTCRCAATAAACACAGATAAACTGCTGGTACTCAGTGACAGAGCCTGGCTCCAGCTTATCCCCATGCAAAACCAGCACACATCGAACGGCACAATGCAGACCTGGGCAGAGACAAGCTAGTCACATTCCAGATCATAATTTGTCACATTTAGCAAAGACATCTTTATTTAATTTATTTGTGTTTGTTACTTTAAAAATTCTTGTTTTTCTTAGTCCMTTCATATTTTATATTCTGAGCTCCTCACTGACACTTCCATGACCAAGTTCCAGGACAAATTCTCCTTCAGAGCTGTCAGATGCCTGCAAGGGCCAGGCTGAAATCAGTACAGGTACTCTGCACACAAATCTCTGCAATACAGCCCTTTATTTCACAATCCATCTCACCTGTACCAAGGGAAACCAAGACCAGGTGTTTCTTGGTACCGCATGTTAAATTCATCAGATCTTAAATTCATGAGATGTTAAATTCATTAGATATTAAATTATCAGATCACAACAGATGGGGTCAAAATACCAGAGACACTGGGCCAATTAGTCGATTTCTGTATTGGAAACGTCTGTGCTATACTGACGCCGCTTTTAAATAGAGAAAGTGGGAAATAATTCAGAATACCTTTACTTGTCTTAGCCAAGACTTAGGGGCCTAAGTCTCACCTTCCAATTATTTTCAATTTTCTCTTTTTTGCAACACAGGCCATGATCCAGCAGAGCACTTCAGAACATGCTTTATTTTTTCTGAATAATCGTTGTGAAATTGTACCTTGGGACATGTGAGTGCCCTTTTGAATCAAGACCGAYGTATTTTACTCCCAAACATATGCACAGTTTCCAGCATCAGAAGTTGTTGAATTCAATTARTAAGGAGGATTTTCACCTTTCAAAGTGTTTTGTGACATTTCACGCAAAGTCCTGCGTGACAGTGACAGTGACTTGACCACGATATTTTTAATAGTTCATAGTGAATCTCCCGAGGGACAGATTTGGGCAGGGACAGACCAGAAACCCCCAGRTCTCCTCCAGGGAGGTTCAACACACAAAACTGCCTCCTCCCCYTCCATGGAGCTTGGAGAGGTCAACTCCAAGACACATTTCTCAGCTCTCTATCTTTGGCAGTGACCAACTGATGACAGAAAAATAAATAGATCTGATGTCCCTCTGGTGAAGAAAGTCTCTTCTTGGTGGCACAGGACACATCCCAAATACAGTATCATGCTTTCCCTGTCCCAGCTGAGGGCATGGATACACTTGGAGCAGGAAATGCCACTGATGGTGCTGTTAGTGGGGGCTGCTGAGCTCATCAGAGCATGAACACAYCTCTGTCCTCACACAGCCCAACACTGGGGTGTTCTGAGACCCACAGCTCTCGGGTGGCAGCAACAAGTGATCTGATAATCTGCCCTGTGATCCTGACTGCCCCAAAATGAACCATATGCTCCCCATGGCATCGAGTGCCAGAGGGTGGCACAAACAAGGTGTCACAGGGAGGAAGGTCAAGGTGAGTGGTGAGATCATCAAATCAAAGAGCAGGACAAGCATAAGCAGACATACATATATAATATGTACAGTGGCCATGGGTGCATTTTCACCATGAAGTAAAACATCACRTTTACACTGCAGAAAATGATCAGACTCAAGAATTATTTAGTGCCAGGTGTCTCTAACTTGCCAGCAAAAAGAGCAGGAAATGTCCAAATGTGGGCTGACTGAAGTGGTGCAGCTGTCAGCTGGGGTATTCTTTCTTTCTCAATTTCAGACATGAAATGCAGGAGCATTCTTTTATTTTCACTACATGCTGTGGACAGAGAATGATCTCAGTAGTGTTTGGTTTGGTTTGTATCTTTTCTCTTACTCTCTCCAGCTTTTCCAATAGATTCACTAGTAYCAAAACATGGAGATAAGGTATACCATGAATTCAGTCAGCAGAAATTGCCAAGCTTCTCTGTAGGAATAATCCGGGCTTTCAGAGCAGACTAAGATAAGGCAGTGGAAAGCTCTGAACCCACCCAAATGCTCTCCACATGGTCTGCAGTCGTGGCCTATGGTTTTTCACAAGTCTGGGGAGTACTGCTAAGATATCTCCAAGAAGTGCCTAAGAAAGTTACCATTAAGCTGAAATTCACCACTGAGGAGGCTGAACCTCTCTAAGAGAACTACTGGGGGGTGCACTGGAGGTTTTGGAGGAAGACATTGTTAGAGCTGTTGAAAACCATTGCTCTGGTTACAAAATCAGACTGCCAGTGACTCTGTGCAGCAACTGGATTCAAAATACTCACTGCCAAAATTCAATGTGGTGATGTGAGCACAGGAACTTCCCTGGGAGGCTGCATATYGGTAAAAGTCAGCTGGCCCAGATGCAGTATCAGAGGACTCCCCAGTAACCCAGCTGCAGGCACCTATAACACACTGCATTAGGCTGTATTAATTACTGGCTTACACTGGAGGCAAAGAAGGAACTTGGGAAAGACAGGGAGATGAAGATAATTATCATCAATAATAACATCATCAGCAGCAGCTGGTTTTTTGCCTTGCTCATGTTCCTGCTCCCTAAAATTAAGACGCTGGCCAGAACTGGGCTTTGGAAAGACTGAACTATTAGCAAGGTTGCCAAAAGAAAAGTGTGCTCCTGCCACTCCTGTAACAATGACTGGGCTGCTTGCAATCCAAATAATTGAAAAATAAAAGAAAAACAAGCTCAGAGAGCTGGATGTTGGTGCGGCCGACTCCTCTGGTGCTCTCGGGGTGGGGAGTGCAGAACATCTTCCCAGCAGTGTGTGAGGCTGGARAAGGGGCCACTCAGGACATGCACATCACAGGGGTTGTGTGGCAGCCTTGGTCACAGAACATGGCCCCTGGGAGGTGCTACAAGATYGTGGCTCCAGCAGCATCTGCACTCCTGGGGTCCTTCAGGCCGATGATGAAACTGTTGGTTCTCCTGGCCCCGTAAACCAGGGACACCACTGGGACTTTATTCACCTGATGGCCCCTGGCCACAAGAGATGCAATATCTTCTTCAGGAAACTCACCTGCAGGGATTGGAAAAGAGGAGTTGGTAACTGAAGGCAGTGTTGCCTTTGATGCACAGCTCTGTCTAACCCTGCTGGGGTCAGGGTGGGGGAATCTGAGCAAGCCGAAGGCCAGGAACCACTGTTCTCTGCTGTGGGTACCAGAGGATCCACAAGACCATTTAAAGATGTGGAAGATCCTCCCTTTTGGAAGGTGAAAATACGTGGTTGACACCAGTTGTAGTTATTACTCTTAGAAAACAAGAGGTAGTACCCACTCTTAGTTACTAATAAGAGTATTAACAATTGTTAATCAAAACAAGATGCAAGACAGCTCAAAAAAAGACAGTAAAACATGCTGCCAAATGATAAACTTTGTGCTAAGTGTCCCAGCTTCCCCTGGTTCTACTTCTTAATCTTCCAAGCATCTACCTCAGGTTGCTCCTCTCCTGCTCTTATTTGATCCATTTGATGGTTTGTAATTTCTGTGTGAGTAGAAGTGCCTGAGGCCCCTGAAGCTGGGGGTCCAGCAGGACAAATGGAGCAGGGACACAGAAAACCCACTGGTATTTAAGCTTTATGTGTTGTATCTTAACATGTATCTTGTTGATGCCAAATGTCTAAACTCACAAATTAGGACCTTGYGAAGTTTTAGATTTAATTCCAATTCCAAGTCCACAGTGCACACTGCAGTACAGACCCTTTTTTAGATTTTCCTCTGAAATGGGAAAGCCCAGAAACTTTGGCTATTTGGTGTGGAAGAAAAGCCAAATTTCACTTATGGTTCACTCTGGTAGGATTTGGGGCTGTGTGAAAAATAYCAAATAGACCAAGCCTTGCAGTAAGAAGGACAAGAACTGACAGACTCCTGAGTGCCAGCACTGATGCTGTGTTTTCAGCACTGTCAAGCTATAAGCTTTGCCCTAACCCTTGCCTTCTTCCCAGCAGCTGGAATTAAGAGACATGGACTGGAAGGCGAAGGAACATAATTTATGGYAGTGGGTATACAGTGCAGGAAGCTTTGAGCACCTGTCTAGGTGAAGTAGAGGCTGCAATCTTGTTGATTTGGATATCCTCAGTGGSATCTGATCTCCAGAAGGATTTAAGGACAGGACAAGGCCACTACCAGCAGRTGAGCCGGGACAAAGGGAGGGCTGGAGAGAAGCACCTGAAAGAGCTCGGATTAAATGGTGCTGGAGGGGTCAGGGAGCATTTCCAGGACAAGAGGAAGAGGACATGGCTCAGCAGGGGCTACAGGCTTTGAAGAAGCTGAATTCTGATTTTTGTCTTCCCCAAAACCCTCTGCACTCATGGGGACCCTAGAACATGGTGAGTGGTACTTCCATTGCAGTGTGCTAGGAAAATCCTGCTCTATTCCTAAACTTGCTGGATTGTAGGCTGCACCCCACCCAATGTCCATACTCACTGTCAACCTGCAAGATGTTGGACTGAAGCTGTGGATGAAGTCGACCAAGTGACAAACTTTCACTCAGATTCTTGTTAAATGTTAAAACATTTACCAAAACCTGCAAGAGAATAAATTATCCTCAATAAAAAAAAAAAAAGTGATGAGAATAGGAGAAGCCAATTTCCYGAGCATCCGCCAAATTGGTGGCTCCAACATCTGCCCATGCAGCAGGCAAAATAGATTTTAAACTATTTACCAAACTGCATKAACTACTGCAGGGGTGTGCACACACTAAGAGGTCCCTGGAATGTGTGTTGTTGGTTGTAAAGCAGAACATTTTCAGGACTGCGTGGGCTTTTTGTCACATAGCTCCTGCCAAACCAGMAGGGTTCTGTGTCTGGAACATGAGGTAAGCTCTAAATAAGTGTTTGCTACAGCCTAAAGTTCAGCACGTGACTTCTCCAAACAAAGCACTAGGAAGCCGTTTTTGGCTTTGGTTTTGCTCTAAATAATGCTTTCCAAAAGGTAAGGAAACTGGGAGCCCTCCTTGTGCTTTTCTTTTGAGCAATCCAATACTGCTGTACATGCAATTGAGCTATTGGCAAGTGCTTCACCTCATTACAAATCATAAACTAAGAGGAACTGGCCAATTTATAGCCAGTGTTGAGCAGGAGGAATTTGGTGGGAATGCACCAAAAGGAGCTTTTCATACAGAAAAGTTCTAAAGGGCTGCCAATTTCCTGCAATTCTGTGAATAACAAAAAATGCTCCTTTTTTCCTTCATGATCCTCAAGACAAACTTTGAACAGGTATTAGAACGACAAAAACCATTATAAGTTTTGCCAAAATGCTTCTCCTTTACAACTATCAGAGGTACCACCATGTAAGGTGCAAGGAAAGCAAACTGGTAACTCTTGAAGATTTGAAAAGACCAAACTGTGGGGCTGGTGACWTCACAGGTGGATTGATAACCTGTGGCCACCAGTTTTGACCCAGCATGGGACAATTAGGAAGGGAAAGTAGGGGACCCTGCTCAGGCTTGAGCTGAGCAGCTGCTCTGGGAGGACACAGCACTGACCTGGACGATGCTGCTCAGGGCTCTGTCCCCATTGTTGGCTCCCAGGCACAGGTAAGTACCACACATGCCCTCGGAYGGCCTCACGATGGTGGGCAGCAGGAAGGACCGCGGCCGCTTCCCAGGCTGGAGCAGGTTCTGCTGCAGTTGAAGAAAAGACACACCAAAGAAAGGTCAACAAGAGCTCTTTTACAGAAGGAACACGGAGCCAGTCTCCTGCTTCCAAAGTATCACCGCAGCAAGTGGGCTGGTTCACAGTGCGCAACGCGGCACTGGAAGCCACCAATGCAGGTCTGTATTTGTTTCTTTCCAAGACCTGAAGACACTTTTTTCTGCTACCTGATACTTTTTAACCTGCAGAGCAGGAATTCCTAAAGGGAGTTCACAATTCAAGACAACACTGTAACTAAAGTGTATCTGTGCAGGGAAAGTAGGTAACAATGTGCTTGATAAATGTGCATTGCAATGATAATTGATGGACTGGAGCCCTCTGCTTCCGCACTTTCAGTGGCGCACATAATGAAAAACAGCAGCTTTCTACAGGCTATTGTCCCTCAGTTATTAATAGGGCATTACATATCTCCCCTGCTGTGGAGATGAGAATAAAATTGGAAATAGATGATAAATAAAGAATTTATTCATTACCGGCCTGGGAATGGAATGGTTCATTGTTGTATTTTGCCAGGAGAAGTCCAACATCTGGCTGTTCAGGAGGATTCCAGAGGGTGTTATTATTCCACTGCCAAAGGGACAATTCAAAGAACTGAAAAGAAACACAAAAAAATCTCGTCAAAATCATCCTAGAGATTTTTGTGCACCCTGAGGCTTTTAAGGTTCCAGATTTCTGTCCCAGCTTGGCGTGACGGAGACTCTTTGGTGATTCTTTAGGGCTGGTGAGATTGAGGAGTGAATTTCCATGCACTTAGGAGCAGGAACCACGTGGCCCACAGCAGCTCTGTCCCTCCCTGTCTTTAAGGACTCCCTTTGCTGYAAGGGATCTGCCTCCATGCCCACACCAGTCCTCGATTTGGCCATTCCCTCTCCTCCAAGGAGCAGATTCAGGCCACTCCAGCTATGTTTCACTGTGAGAGGGCTCCAGGACCGCCCAGAGCAGAGCAGCCCCAGCCCCCACATCTGCACCCATCTGCTCCCCCCACCCAGTGGGACAGACTGGGACAGAGCAGCCTGGCTGCTCCAGGTCTGCTCCCATCCTGTCCTGCTGAACCCACTTCCTTGTCCCTGCTCCCACCCCAAGCTCACTGGGGAGGGAAGAGACCAATCCTTTACCTCACCACGGTGACAATGAAGTCATCAGGGCCCATGACAAGGACCTGGCTGGCGGTGGCCCTGCTCTCCAGGGGAACATGAGGCACGTGGAGATCGGACGGGAACAACTGGGAGTCATTGATCAGCTGGCGCAGGGAATTGGCTTCTGATTTACTTCAGCAGGGAGAGAGGGAAAGAGGAGAGCAGCCATGAGGCTGAGGAGATGGACATGCCCTGGTGTCTATACACAGCTTCAGGGAGGTGCTCCCAAGGGGCTGCTCGAGGACAGTGAGCTCCTTTGGCTGACACCAAGGAAGAAAAGGGTGGCAAGGTAGCCCACTTTGCACAGAGAGGCAATGCCACAGACTTCCAAAGGCTCTGCCCACCTGTTTGCCCTCACCAGGAGTAAACCCACCCCCAGTGGCCAAGGTGACAACCCCCGCTGAATGCCAGTCCTCAGCAGGACAAGTCAGGCCCAGCCACCAACCAAGGCTAAGCCTGGCTCTGAGGTGAGAGGCTGGGCTGAAAACTAGGCCTGGCCTCTCCTGCACACCCAGCTGCTCTGCAAGGCCCCAAGCCACACGGTGGGGCTGGGAGAGGCACAGATAGCAYGTGTGGCCATGTCTGTCTGTCTGACCCGCTCACAGGGAATGTGTAGAGGTGTCACAAAGTGAGAGGAACCCTCAAGCCCAAGCTGGCTCCAGGAAACCTTGGAGTGAGGACATCCTGTGACCCATCCCCAGAGCCCTGGTATCAGTTGTGATMCTTGCGCAAAAGTGAGCCCTTGGAGGACACTCAAGGTATGAGYTCTTCAAGGGAGAAAGAGCTCAGGGCAGAGCAAGCCCAGGAGTGATATCCGCCCCACACATCCTGCAGCTGTCACCGTGCCTGTCCTCCTCAGACATACCTCACCATGCCTTCTGCTGTGTGAGTGACAGACACGTCACCTGATGGGTCGCCCAGGTTGCTCGCCAGACTCAAGGCTATTTCTAATGTCTAAAGAAAGAAAGGAGGTGGAGAGGAAGAGAAGAGGAGAGAAGGAGGAGAAGGAGAGGAAAGGAGAGGAAAGSAGAGGGAAGGGAGGGGAAAGGAAAAACATTTATGTGGCCCTGGAAATAAAACTTCTGATACTCCAAAAAGGAAGAGGAATCTGGTGTCCTRGTGTGTTGGCTAAAGCTTAGGAAGAAAAATGACCAAAGGTCTGKGCTCTGGGAATATCTCAGTGCAAAGGGCTGTTGCACATGGGTATGGGAACCAAAGAACCTCAGTCTGGCATGGCAACTGTGCTGGGGGAGTCAAGTGAATCCAGMAGCATTTGCACARTCACAGAATCACAGAATGGTTGGAGTTGGAAAGGTCCTTAAAGCTCATCTCATTCCASCCCCKGCCACRGGCAGGGACACCTTCCCATGTTGCTCTAACCTGACCTTGGACATTACAGGGATGGGGCAGCCACAGCTTCTCTGGGCACCCTCTACCAGCAGCTCCCCATTCTCACAAGAAAGAATTTCTTCCCTATATCATATCCAATCCTTCCCTCTGAGAGTGGGAAGCCACAAATGCAACATGCCTTAGGAGGCATGGTAGGTTCTGATGCCTAGTTCAGTGGTTCAGCTTCATTGTCAGCTGGCAGACAGGGTCTCCAGGATGCCACTTACTTTCTGTTTCCATTCCTGAGTGGTCACCACAACWGAAATCCCAATGGGACACTGGGTCCCGGGGTCGCTGTTGCCTCTGGATCCCAGCTCTGCTGGCCCAGTGCCAGTGCTGAGCAGAAATGAGCTGTTCTGCTCCCCAGCTGCTGCCCAGCTCCAGTTGTAAACCACCCAAAGGGTTTGAACAGAAAGCATCAGTCCCAGCAGATGTCAGGGAATGATGRTGTAAAAGGAGGAAAGAATCTCCTTTCTCAAATATGCAGAATCCTGCCTAAGCCAATCCATCGAAAATGGAAGATTCAATTTCAAAGGACACAGTTTATCCAGCCTTGGGGTTACAGCATAGCCAGGGCACAGCCACAAGGAGAGASAGCAGCTCCTCAGCCAAGCCAGCCTATGGTGAGCAGAAACGCACTCATCTTTCAGGTTSTGCCATGGTCATTCAGGATTCAGAACAGATCATTCCCCTGCAGGCAGCCAGCAAGATGTGACTGCTGGTCCGGAATGTGTTACACAGCAACAGTGTCTCCTTGGTTATTGGTGGTGTAGAGTGCAGAACCCGAGCAACTGCTGAAGAYGGCAGCATTCCCATGGAGCAGGATCCTGACCACCACACTATGTGGGGGGGCCAGGGAAGAGCTCCACGAAAACACACAGGGCACATCCACCCCAGAGGGTAAGGACATCTTGGTCCTGGTTGTCGCAGGGCTGGATGTGGCCTAGCACTGATCCTCAGCCACATGTTCAGCTGTGTGACCCAGGCAGTCAGGGTTACACATCTCCTGCACTGACTGCCTTGGAGCTGGAGATTGCTGCTCCAGGATGACCAACAGGTGAAACTCTCAGCAAAGCAAATAGATTCACCCAAAACTTCCTGAAGAGAGCTCAAAAATAACTCAGCTGARTCAACCTCCTGTACTTCTGTGTGGTGTGTAACACCTCCTGTTGCTGCATTTTTGCTGAGACAATAACGTGAAGCACCCATTGTCCTGTCTGCTACAAGGATGTGGTTAAATCCTTCATTAAAATTCTCAGCTCACAAAGCTCAGCTGTGCATCTGTAAATTCCCAATTCACAAATGCCAGCTGTGGATCTGTGGAGCATCTTWGAGCATAACTCTACTTACAGAGCAGGAGACAGAGCAGTTGCTCAACCTCCTGGGAAGCTGCAATGTTTTGGTAGGACAGTCTTAAATACTGGAAAAATTCTGGACCACAGAGATCATGAGGTGCGAAAAAAACATAAATATTTCTTTTTAAATATGAAGTATTGAATCCGTTTTCCTTGTCATCACCAAGGAGAGGCTTTTGCTTGCAGCACATCTTACAGTGCCCTCAGGTGCTTTGGAAAGGCCAGGGCCACTGGAGCTAAGAGGTGGTGAAATTATATGGGACCCCCTCAGGTGCTGTGGGGTCATTCTGCAGAGATGATAATGTATAAGAAATGGGCAAAAGCCATAGTTTGCTCTGAAAAAACTCTTCTAAGCATGAAAGATCCTCCTGCTCAGCCCCTGAAACAACAACAGTGCTCAGTTTTACACTTTAGCAGTCTTTTTGCTCATATTCCTCTGGGAATAACCTACGAACATTTTTGTACAACCACAAAATCAATCATTCTCTAACAGAACAAGCAATTCAGCCAAATGTTGAACCTCTTCTTACCTCAGCCATCCAGTGCAAGATATTCCCTCTGGATCCTTGACTAGTGATATTAAAGCCCTCGAGGATGTTCAGTGCTGTGATCAGGGCAGGACCTGCATGTGGRGGTGGGGGGGTGAAAACGAGGTGACCTGTGGAGGGAAAAGGAGAGTAATGAAGCTGCCTTTGTCAGATCCTATCCAGTAAGAACACTTGAACATGAGCCAGTGTCCTTCCAGAAACCCTCCCAGATTCGAGGGGAAATAATACAAAGCAACATGATTTGAGAAGGATTTCTCAGGACATCCCTGTTGTATCCTTCWGTTTCTTCAGGAAGGATGAAGGAAACCCAAACAGGGCTTTATACATCTGAAATTCAGTTCTTATTGGTTGCCTGTTTTTTTCCAGACTGCAGTGTGGAAGAATGGAGACAATCACAGAAAACCAGAATGATTTGGGTTGGAAGGGRCCTTAGCGGTCATCCAGTCCCACCACCCTGTCATGGGCAGGGACACCTTCCACTATCCAGACTGACCCAGCCTGTCCTTGGACACTGTCCAGCCTGGCCTTGGACACTTCCAGGGATCCAGAGGCAGCCACACTTTCTCTGGGCACCCTGTGTCAGGGCTTCAGCACCCTTAAAGGGWGAAATTGCTTCCTAACATCTGATCTAAATCTCTTCTYTTTTAGTTTAAAATCATCCCCYTTGTCCTATCACTACCTGCCCATGTTAAAAGTCACTTTCCCTTGTTTTTATAAACCCTGTTTACATTCTGGAAGGCCATCTAAAAATGGGTTTTCAACCCATTTTTGATGATGGGGAGATGGGACCAAGAAACCACAAAGATGGCTCCTGTGAGGAAGTTCTAGAAGCTTTCTCCTTCTTCTCCAGCAAAAGGAGCCCTGCCTCCTGTATGTAGAGCCAATCCATCATGGCTCTGAGGTTGATGGACAGGCTGCTCATCAGGCCTGGGCCAATTGCACAGGTTGGTTACACCTCTGTGATGACGTATTGTCTTGCACTTAGGAATTCAAAACAAGATGGGGGCGGCCGCCATGCAGTTTTTAGGTTGTTAGTATTTAGTTTTAGTATCATGCACTGGGGAAAAGCAGAGCAGGAGGGGGAGGAGATGTAAGAAAAAAATGGAGACCCAAGATCACAGTAAGGAGAAGACAGGTACTGTTGTGCTGTGCTGTGGTGCTTGAACATGGAGAAAACAAGCTGTTCTTGAAAGGACTATTTCTACAATGAGAGACCTGTATAGAAAAGGAGAGCGACCTTGCTCTGAGGAAAAAACCTGGCCTTTGAGATTGGACTGAACTGATCAGGAGCTAAAAGGGAGAAGAGGCTTGGCCCCCGCCATGACATTTGAAGYGAGTTGATGCTAAGAAGAAATCATGTTCTGCGGGGAGGAAGAGGTGCCCCCCAYTCCACGTCTGAAGCAAGTGGATGCTTAGAAGAAACTGTGTTTTGCCAGGAGATTTGTGATAGTGGCCTTACGTCGCCGAAACAACACACTTTGGCCTTGAAGAACTTTCTTTCCTTTCTCCCACGAGGTAAAGAAAAGAATCCTTCGCCATCAGCAGTTATACACTGACTGTTTCTTGGGAAAAGACTTTCCACAGCTTGGAGCTGTAAGAATGCTTCTCCTATGATGCTGGATAACAACCGTAATGAGTAGTTTGATCTATGTTAGACTTTCATCCCTGCTCCCTGTGTGTGCAGGAAGGCATGGGGGSGTGGAGAGKGACGACCTGGGAAAGAGATTGGTCCCGGAAAGAATAACAGGTGTCTTAAAATGTCCGTTTTTATTTTTCTTCTCCTTGTAAATTTTTCCCTATCTTTGTTCCCCTCCCCAGTGCGATAGTATTCTTAGTAGCTTTTAGTAATAAATCTATTTTGCAACTTAAATTATTCACCCTGTCTGACCATTCTCTGAAGCATATATGTATCTTTCTCTCAATGATGTTATGTTATCTGAAAGCCATAAATTTTAGTGTTACTTGGGCTTTTGTTCTCCCTTCTTCCTCTCCGGTGGGGGAAGGGAGGGAACGTTGTGGGTGCAGTGCTTTTGGCTTTTGGCCCACTTCAAACCACGACATTTCTGGTGCCGTGACTCGGATTGGGAAAAAACAGGTTTAAACCCACGACATAGCTATAAGGAGGATAAATACAGGGACTGCTATAAAAGAATGACATTTTAGAAACTTCTTGAATAAAGTCAGCTTTTGTCCCTTCTGGAACTGTCTTCAGCCATAGGTGCTGGCTTGTGGTTCCAYTGAGATGTGAACATGTTTACACTTTAGCACTATCAAGGGAAAAATMATCTCAAAATGCTGAAAACCTCCTGAACCAGTCATGACCCATCAATGTCAGCAGGGAATAGCAGGAAACTCCCTGGAATGCCTTTCTGTGGGCACCTCAGCACAGCTTTGACTTCAGTTCTCATACAATACCAGTGCCACCCCCTGCTAGGTGAACCAAACCTTCCCCTGGAGTTGCATGGCAGTAGGTCAGGGTGTACCTCGATAGATTGTATGCACGGGATCCTCCACAGTGACACTGTAATTTCTGAAATCTTCCTCCACCAAGACTCCTCCGTAGCTGTGGACCTGATGGGAGCAAACCAGAGCACATTGAGCAGATGGGGCCAAGGCTCTCAGTGCTCCTCCTGCTGCCCAGGGGGACACACCCCTCACTGTACACGATACTTCATTGAGGTTCTTGAGCCCAGAGCCAGCTCCCTTACAATACCCTGGAAATCTATGCTTTCACAGCCCTGGTGACCTGGCTCACTGTTCAGCATTGCAGGAAGGCTATGCACTCACCTCCAAAAGCTCACCCACCCCAGGGTGCTCCCGGGACATTCTGTCTGCCTAGGAAGATGGGGACTGGGCCTGCACTGCTTCCCTGCCCTGGCTGGCAAGCAGGAGTGTGTTAGGGGGTATTGAATACTGTCGGGATTATGGATGCAGGAGATAAGGAGCCTGGGTRTAGCAGATGGCCATCACTAGAAATCTCAACAAAAAAATTCCCACCCTCTTTGTAATGATTTCAGCTGACAGTGGCTCTGCTGTAGCCTTGGTTTTCCTGTAAGACTCCTGTCAGAGTTACAGTTCACCAGGTTTGGTGGTTTTCATCAACAAAGGAAAGGTGGGTGATAGACCTGCTCCAGGTCTTCTGTGCCTGAGTCATGATGGAGATGAGGGAGGAGGGTGCTGGGAACTGCCCAGGCTCCCTAGGGAATGGCCACGGCCCCAAGACTGCCAAAGCTCCAGGAGTGCTTGGACAGCGATCTCAGGGAGAAGGGGGCACTGTGGGGGTGTCTGCGTGCTCTGGTCTCTAACCCAGGCAGCTTCCTTGCAGGAAGATTCCTTCTCTGGCAGAACTGGATGAATCACTGGAGCAGGACAGCTAATGCAGGGCACGATGTGGGGCCACATGTCTGACAACCCCAAATTTGCTAAAGGTGTCTGTCCCTTGGGATCTCCATTTCCTTTCCAGAGAAAAGGCTGGCTCAACCCAAGGGCTCTGCTGAGACAGGACCTGGCTCCCCAGAGCCTGGGCACTGGGGAATGGGGCAGCAGGAGCAGAGAAAGGGGAGAAGCCCCAGTCAGCCACACACTGCAGACAACATCTCACATTCCCCAGAAAGCACTTCTTTGAACCTGAGCCTGGAAGCAAAGAGTGGGTGTTTTAGAGCTGTTCTTGATTTCACCACATGGATGCCCTTACTGTACTGGAACAATGAACACTGTATGACGCCAGCACTTTGYTTTGCAGCCAAAGCTGGAATGATGCACTGGATCCCAGAGCTTGTCTGGGTCTTTGGTGTGGTACCCTGGGCCTTGCTTCTCTGCAGAGAATTTGTGCTTCCCTGTGGCAGCCCCCAGGTCAGGGGAAGAGGGTGACAAAGCTGTGGAGATGCTCACAAGCATCAAAGGGTTTCGCTGTGGAGATGCTCACAAGCTTGGGACTTCTCCTGCTCCTCATCCTTCACATTTGCTATGGTCCAGGTGAATAGAACACAGAGACCACAAATGTCTGAGGTTTGAGTGGAATGAACACATTCCAGATTCCYGATGGGATATTGAAGGAGCATCACTTGAACCATGGTGGCTGAAAAAAACAGTAGCCCAAACAACCCTGACTGCAGCCACACAGGTATAGAAGTTGTTACAATTTGTTGTTTTTTTAAACCAGAATTACTTTGTCTGTCATGGGTATTTTTTCCAGAGCACCTCTAACAGGAGTTAAACTAGGGCAACCCCAAGTGGGACCAAGCATGTCTAATCCTCTGCTCACAAGACTCACAGATTTATTTTTAAACCRTTTTCCTGGAGTCTGTATCCTACAGTCCCATTAACGACAACAACTTGTTTCTCAACAGCCTCTCTTTCTGGGGGAAAAGGTTTTGTCACTGAAACCAAGAGAGCCCAGAGCAGGGCTTCAAACTGATTTTTTTTTCTTTTCCATAGAGGAAATGGAGGTTTCACTTCTGTGAAAAGGCTGTGGGAATGGCCTGTGTGTCATTTACACCACTGCAGGGACAGGAAAGAAAAAGGAAGCATCTGTCCCCATTATTGTGCTGTCACGATCTCCCATTTGTCACCTTGAGCACGTGGCAGCCCYAGCCTGGCAGGTGACAGGGACAGCCCTGGCTCACCTCGGAGATCATCTCCTGGGTCAAGTTTCCGCTGTAGAAGGCTGACACCCCTTCTGCCCCCAGCAGCTGCAGCACAGCTGCGAGGTCCAGGCGCCGGATGAACATCCCAGGCAGCAGGGGCTGCCCATCTGGCAGGAAGATCTCCCGGAACCGGTCCGAGTAGTTCAGGTCCTTCAGTTCACCCAGGGCTTTGGCTGCACATGAGAAGGGGAAGGACACKCAGAAAAAGCAGGGGTCAGGAAGGCACAAAGGACCTGGAGTCACCATGCACCTGATGGGAATGTTGGAGGCCTGCTGCTGCCTCTGAGCCTATTGCAAAAYGAGAGGGAAGCTGGATCATGGATCCTTTGGAACTGGGAAAGAAACCCAGAGAAACTCCAACACCCTTCCCTACCTGGCCCTGGGCACTGCCCAGTGAGGGTGCTCTGCCCTGGCTCTGCCCAGCCAGGGCAAAGGGCTCCAGTTTGGCTGCTGCCATGCTGTTCCCTGGCAGACTGTGGCTCACACAGTGCTCAGCTCCCAACACCATCCATCTCCATGGATTTCCCATGACTAACCACATACATCTCCAGCTCCCTTGCCCCACAGTGGGCTGYTGTGTGCTGGGCTGCCCATCAGGTACTCACCCAGGTCATGTGTGACATTAAAGCCATTCTGGGCRACGCCAGCTGTGAGGCCCAGCAGCTCAGACCACGGGAGCCTGCCAAAGGAGAGAGGACAAGGAGAAACAGCCTTGGAGGAGTTCAGTGGGTCGGGGTGATGGGGAGTAAACACAGGGCTCAGCTCTGCAGTCAGGGGCTCCTGGAAGACTGGGCTGTGGGGCCAGCAGTGGCCAAAAGGAGCACTGMGCTTTCAGTGCTTGTGTTTCTCCTTAACAGGATCATCTGACTGCTCCAGGATGTGCCCCTGAGAGGAATGGCAGTGCAGGGATGGGCATCTCAGGAGCAAAATCTCAAGCCAGGCTCTGGTCCAGAACAAAACAATCAGRTTCCTCCCTCCCTATCCCAACAGGGCACCAAGGGCAGGCACACATCCTAGGATCCAGCTGAAGAGAGAAAGAAGATGCCATGGCATGACATGCCAGGCAATGTGCTGCATCTTGAGGAGAACATTTATTATATACCTTCTTAGCCAAAATTTCACTTTGCAGAAAACATGACAAAGGTAAACTCTTTCTTTTGTAGGAGAAATACCCCAAAATAAACATCTTTCAACGCGAGCCTCCAAATACCCCTTAGCTAATGATTTTGACTGGTGGCTGAGAAGATGGTCTGATGGCAAGGGCTCATGTGCTCCCAGCTTCCCTGCAGGGACTCCAGGGCACAGCCTGTGCCAGCCTCATGTCTTACCTGCCGTGTAACTGGTGTGCCTGGTGCATTCCTTGGATCATGCCTGGCACCCCCACAAGCAGACCTGGCTGTAAAATAGGAAGCACGTAAAGGAAGAGTGGTCTCCTTTCCATGAGGACATGGGACATAGCCCCTATTTGCAACCCAAGGAGGTGCAAGTCATGTTCACTTTGGAATTATCTGCATAGGAGAGGGGAAGAGGTCTGTAGCAACACACTTTACTGTGGACTAAAAGGTTTTGGAAGGAGAGAGGCAAATTCAATCTTGTTCTCAACCCAGTTTGGTCAGGAGAAATGACTCAGCAGAATGACCTGGGATTACGTTGAGCTCTTGCTCTCCCAGCACCCTGCTGCCACAGAGTCATRCCTCTTAATTCCCCAAAGCTTTGCAGGCATTTTGGGGCTGATAAAGAAGGATTTTCCCGAGATTCCCCATGTCTGTAGGGGCCAGGATCTTCCAYGATGAGAGAGACCTCCTGCTGCTGGGCATCTGCCCCTCAGGCTAAAAGTGGGAGGGAGGAGAGCTGGAGACAGCAGCCCTGRAGGGAACGGCTGGGACAGTGTTCTCACCTTGGTGTCCTGCTGCAGGTCCCTGTCCAGCGGGATGCCCAGGGGAGCCACCTCACGGAAGTCGATCACCCAGCTCCTGTTCTTGCGGATGTCATGGACCAGCATCACCCCGCCCCTGCGGCAACACTGGTCAGGGCACAGCACTGGCTGCTCCTGAAGCAGCCACTGCCGTACAGCTTGGGTGGCACCGCAGCCAGGGCAGGTCGAGTGTGACAAGGGTCACTGTGGCAGGTCACCAGCCCCAGCAGAGCCCTGGGATGGCCAGAGGTSCAGGGAACACTGCTGTCCTTCCCTAGGGCACATACCAGGACAGTCAAGGCAGGGCCAGTGCGGGACATTGGCAGGCCTGTGCTGAGCCTGGTGAGGCTGGAGCAGTCCCTGCCTGCCTGGTCACTGGCTTGTTCCACCACCAGGTTGGGACCATCTGGGATTTTCTTTCTATACTGAGCAGTTTTGCAACAAAAGAGGGTTTTTTCTTACAGCAGCAATGGGTGGTGCAGCTGGAGCACAGATCAAGTGACTGCAGTTTATGCAACGCTTCTGAGCCCTCCTGCAGAGTCAGGAGCACCAGGCTCACCTGGATGCCCCCTGGGGGATGAAGGCTGRGCGAAGGCCACCCCTCACTGCCATCATTCCCTGGCAGCTGCCCAGAACTGGGCTCAGACTTCAGCCTTAGGAGCAGAGCTTGTGGAAGGCAGGACTCGGGCTTTGGAAGTACTGGGACTGAACCTGGGGTGCTGCCAGCTCCTGGCACACTCACAGTGGGGCTCACCAGCTCTCTTGAGCATGGGGATRTTCCCGGAAGCCACTCTGGCAGCCACAGATCTCCCTGCCTGGGGGTCTTTGTCTTTTGCTGACAACACAGCGCACAGGAAGGGTCCCTGTCCCTGAACAGATGTCGACACATCCACTGCCTGATGTCAGAGCCTTGGCACGACATCCGGGGCCTGGCACGGCCAAGAAGGCATTTCTCAGCTGGAGAGGGAATTTTTACAAGGGTACATAGTGACAGGACAAGGGGGAATGGCTTTAAATTGCCAGAGGGCAGGTCTACATTTGCTATTTGGCAGAAATCCTCCGTCTGAGGCAGAGGTGGTGGGGGCACTAGGCACTGGCACAGGCTGCCCCATCCCTGGAAGTGTGCACGGCCAGATTGGATGGGGCTTGGACCAATCTGGTCTAATAGAAAGTGTCCCTGCCCATRGCAGGGAGTGGAACAAGGTGTGCCTTGAGGTTCCTTCAACCCAAAGCAGATTGGAATTCTGTGAAACCACTTGCCTGAGGACACACAGAGACAGACAGGGGGTGAGTCCACACTTACCCTCCCAGCCCCGAGGTGTGGGGGTTGACGATGCCTGCGCAGAGGGCTGAAGCGATGGCTGCGTCCACTGAGGAGCCATGCCTGGCCAGCACTTCGGTGCCCAGTGCAGTGCAGCGCTCAGCATCCGTCACCACAGCGCCACGGTGGAACAGCTGCCAGACAGGAGASAGTGGTGCTGGTGCTGCCCAGATCTGCGCCCACCAATGCAGCACCCGCAGCCTGGGGCCAGTGCGGAGGCTGTGGCTGACCCAACAAATGCTGGTGGGAGCCTGGCATGTCCCTGCTCCAGGACAGTGGTCGGTAACCACGGCCATCGGCTCAGACAGCTTTCCATAGTGTATGTGCCAAGCTGAGGAGGCCACATCTCCTTCTACCCCTCACAGCCCTAGAGGTGTCCCTATGCTGCAGCAAGGTGGCCACTGGGAATGGGGGTACATCTGCAAAGAATGCAGCACCCTCCCAGGACCACAGTTTGATTTCATCCGTGTGCCAAGGGTGTACTAAAGCAGTCACAGGATGTTTTAAAGAGTTGATTTCATCCCTATGGCACAAATTGCAGCATCTCAGCATGAGCCAGGCTGGCCTGAGAACAGGTTAAGACARAAGGGCCACAGCAGCATATGGAGAAGGTGGTGGTGACTCCTGCTGACCACGACGCTGGCAGAGGTTCTGTAGGAGAATCCAACTCCATGGCCACGCTGCCTTGGCTCTACAATCTAGCACTGGGCTGTGGGACAGATTAGGAGGAAGTTCACCTCTGTTTTTAGCTATTTCCCTGCTTGGTCCTGGATGAATCTTCCAGAGGTGAATCTGGGCATGTATGCCCATAATCCACAAAACTCTCTCCAAATGGATAAGATGCCTACTGTTTAAATAAGAATTTTCTGAAAGCACTCYCATCTGGCTCAAACCACAGCTGGAGCCACAGCAGTGGGGCTGCCTGCTCCTCCCCAGCAGCACGCCCAAGTCTGCCTGSCACAGCCCTGCACACGCTGGCCATGGGGCAAGCTCCAGGAGTCAATCTTGGCTGTCCAAGCACAAGCCCCAGGCACAGGAGAAAGCTTTAATGTCAATTTGGGGAGGAACCAGAGTGAGACTGAGCACCCAGGGCCCTTTTGACACCAGCCACAGCTCCCCAGTACTGTCCTTGCCCAACTGCTGACCACAGGAGAAGTCAGGGAGCTCTCCTATCTTTGGAGCCAAAGTSCAACCATAAAGTCACTGTTTTGCCTTACCTGAGGGTCCCCAAAATAGATCTGCATGATGAGGGCCACAGTGACGCCAGTGGCGAAAGTGAGGCAGGCGGTGATGATGACAGTCAGCCCATCCTGCCGGCAGCTGCAGTCTCCCAAGAAGGGGTCCTTGCTGGTCTCCTGGAGYGGGGATATGTCCTGGCTGCCCATCTCTGAGGAGGACGAGGGCAGGCGCTGCAGACGCGCAGACTTCAGGAAGGAGTCTGGGTCTTTGTGGACAGCAGGGAGGAAACAAGTGTGAATTATTGAGCAACTCACAGCTCTTATTGCAGTGTTTACACAGCACTASCATTACACCAAGCTCCTTTCAGCATGGCTATCACCTTCCCTATTGATCCCAGCTCCCAGAAGCCTTTCTGGCTCAGATACTGCTTTGGGTCATTTTACTGATCCCTTCCTTTAGCTCTAGTTATGCCAAACTGACTTCCCTGGAGATTAAGAGAGACAAAAAACCCCTGAATTTTACTCCATTTCAGTCCATTCAACAGTCTTCAGTGATAGGCCCACTCCTATCCCATTTGGAGGGGTTCTTAACACAGCAAACAGGTCTCTGAAATGCAGCGGGACTGAAGAAGAGGAAATTAGGATATAAAAAGAAATGCAGCAGCTTTACTTGGAGCTRTATTGAACTAAAGCACCTGAGCAAAACAGAGGTAAAGCAAAACATTTGGCCTGGGCACAGAGAATACCTCTAGGGAAGCTAGTGAGGGCAGAGAGGAGCAAACCTGCAAACCAGAGGCTTCGAACATCCACTCATTCTGCTGCAGGAAGGACTCTGCTTTAATTCCTTGCTTCCTCTGGCAGATGAAGCCCACTGTGAAATGTAGCCGCACACTGGACACACGGCTCCAACATGGCAGAGCAGCGGGGCAGGGTTTGCTGGGCCTCAGTAGGATGAAAAAGTCTCTTTTTTGTTCTGAAAGATGCCTCAAATCTCAGTGTCAACTGCTGCYCTTGTGCTGGCAATGACACCAGATGAGGATGCCCTGCCCATCCTGGGCACACAGAGCTGCTGCGGCAGCTGTGAGGATATGTCCATCYCTGCTGGGCTCCCAAGGGGACCAAGTAGCTCAGGGCATCATCCAGGGCTCTTGGAATAATTTTTTCAGGGGCTGCAGTGCCCTGTGCACCCATAGTGGGAAAAAGAGGAGCACCAAGTGGAAAAGACGAGAAGCTAGTCTCTCCATACAGGAGAGTTTCCTGTTTTCCAGTTTCCTGGGTTTGCAAAGGGAGAKGGCAGTGAGCAGGAAAGCCCACACCCCTCATCACTGCCTGCCTGTCCRTCTGCTCTGACAGGTGGTATTTTCCTGGGCACTGCCAGCCCAGTCCTTGCCATGGCATTAACCTGACCTGGCTGCAGCTCTCCTGAAGCTAGAGAGGGAGAGAGTTTTAATTTCAGTAATGCTGCATCCACAGTCAGGGAATCCCTTCAGGGTGAATTTAATCTCATTTGTGCCGCAGTGATTTAGGAGTGGGACTGGGAAGGCTTCAGTTTTCCCAGCCCGGGTCTCTGAGCACACATTGAGCCCTTCACTGTCTCATCTGGTCTGAGTGTGAGGACCGGCTGGTGGCCTTGGTGGGGGTCCCAGCTGGCGKGGCAGGGGCTGCCATTGGGATGTCACATACAAGCCCCTGGTACGCCTGAGTAAGGACCCAGCCTCACCTGTAGGCAAACAGCAAGGAGTRAGCTGGACCCCTCTGCCAAATCTCTCCAGGACACTGTCCCTCTGCTCTGCTCCTGCAGCTCTGGTGACAGGCCAGCCCAGCACCAGAGAGCATGAATACCCAGGAAGCAGCTGTGGAAGAAGGCAGACCACAGCCCTTCCACCCTGAAGAACTTCCATTCTCTGCCACGAACATCCCACTTCTAGTCTCTGTGACCATGGGTGCTGCACAGGGACAGCAGTGCCATGGTCTGGGGACAGGAGTGGCCRGAAGAGCTCTGCTGGAAGCACTGGAAGCCAGAAACAATCTGCACAGCCAGTGCACAGCTGCCCATCCCAACTACCCATGTCCCTGTTTCGAAAGGGAAGCCACCAAATCCCATTTGGCTCCCAAAGGGGCTGTGAAGGAGATGTGATTCCACAAGGGAGCCAATGCTTTGAAGAATCAGGGCCATCTCAGCTCTGGAGATGCTGCAGAGGGGACAGCAGAGACTGGAGCTGCTGGGGAGCTCTGCAGGTGCTCCTGCAACAAGTGTCAAGAGAGCAGCAGCTCCTCCAACTGCCCTGCCTGCAGGTACTGACACAGCCAAAACTGCACCAGTTCTGGTGTGACGAGAGGCCTCGTGCTTCCAGAAGAGCCGTTCCCACACTCATGCAGGCAGCAGCTTCACCCTGACAGCCAGGAGAGCACAGGGTGAGAACAGGCAATGGGAGTTTCACCTGTGGGCACGGTGGGACAGGGTGGGCAGAGGGCACAGAGGGTGCCTGGGGCAGTGCAAATGCAGGCCTGGGGCTGACAGGCGCCCGGAATGGGAAAGCAGCCCYAGAGGAGGGCAATGCTGCTTGAAGAAACACGACATGGGGGAGAAACATTTCTCTCAACTGTGGAGAAAGAAGCAATCAGTTAAAAATAGGCAGAGAATTTTCTTACGGATCAAATGATCACCTGACTTTATTCCAGGTAAGCACCGGAGGGATGGAGCATCCCACATAGAAGGATGTGCAAGGAGCACCCCAGGCTGGAGGGATGCTCAAGGAGCATCCAAGGAGGCCAGGAGCATCCAGGCTGCCCTGGGATGTTCTGTGMCGAACCCTGGGATCTCTGGCTGCCTTCCGTCCCTCATGGTGAACGCGGGCCCGGGGCACGGGGACAGCGGGAGCCCGGGGAGCCCCGCTCCGGGCTCGGGGCCGGGGGCCGGGGAGTGCCGGGGGCCGCGGGCGGGCTCTGCCGCCGCCCCTCACCCGTGTCCTGCTCGCCCAGGAACGCGTCCTCCTCCTTGCGGGCGCGGAGGCCGCTCTCGGCCGCGCCGCTCGGCTCCTCCTCGGGCAGCCGCGGGAAGCTGGTGATGCTCATGTAGTCCACGGGCGAGCCGGCGGCCAGGGCCCGCTGACGGCCCGGGCCCGCCTCCGCCGCCGCCGGCACCGCCATCCCCGGGCGACACCGAGCCGGTCACGCCGAGGCGAGCCGGGACACGCCGAGGCGAGCCGGGACACGCCGAGCCGAGCCGGTCACGCCGAGCCGAGGCTCACGGTCGGGCCAGGCCGGGCCCGCAGCTCCCGGTCAAACGGAGCCGCCCCGCGTCGGGCCGGGCAGAGCCGCCGGAAGGGGCCGGGCCGGGCAGAGGCGGCTCCTCCCCGCGGCCGTCGGGCGCTGAGGGCTGGGAGCTGCGGGTCGGTTCCCGCGAGTCCCGCACGGTAAATCGGGCTCGCCTCGAGTGCTGCCGGCGGCAGCCGGGACCGGGACCGGGACCGGGACCGGGACCGAGCGCAGCGCAGCTCGGGGCGGAGGGGAAGGGCCAAGCCGGGCTCCAGCTGGGGCTGCCCCACAGCTCGGGCTCCCCTTCGGCCCTTACCCACACAGGGGGGATCAGCCCGGCCCCAACCGCACCAGGCGGGTTCGYGTTCCGGGCCAAGTCTCCACGGAGCTGGGTCCGAGATTCCTCAGTCCTGCCTAGAAGACTGGAAGAGTTTTCCAAGGGACTCGCATGGGCGTTATGTCGTTGCCGCAGCAAGCCCATAGCAGGGGGGGTTAAATGTCCCCCCCTTCTCACAGAGCAAGGGGACACCAGCACCCAGTGGGACCACTAGCAGGAGATGCCGTGACATTGCCCCAGAGCCGCCGAATGTCTGCTCTCCCACAGCCTTCCGTCGTGGGCTTGCTTGTGCATGTGGCMCTCTGGGATGAGAGCTGGAGGTCACAGCCCCCTCCGCAGCACAGTGGCTTTGGGTGGTGTTTGCCGGTGCAGCTGGCCAGGCTCACCTGGCACTGGTGTCTCAACCTGCTCCTGGCTTCAGCAGCACAGGCACAGGTGTCGGGAGGGGCTGAGGCTGCTGGGCAGTACAGCAAGCCCACACAGAGCTGCAGGGAGCCCAAAGTGGGGCACGGGACCAGCCATGCCTGGGGCAGGCCTGAGCTGTGGTCACCAAGAGCTCCCAGCTGGCAAAGAGTTGTGGACATATGTGCAGCAGCAGGCTGGTTTACATGGATGTTTCTGAGATCAGACTGGCTGAAACATTTCATTTTTCTCCMTGCACTTCTTTTGGAGRTTGACMTAAAACCCAGCAGTAAAATAACTGKAAGATGGAAGAGGTTGTTTGTTCTCTGGTCCGAGTTTGTGAAAACTGCTTATCCCTGTAACAACACTGCCTCTTGACTTGGCACACACATTTGGCTGTTGGCTGCCAGATCTAAAAAAGCCATCTACTTCCCCAATGTGTCCTGGACATCTGTTGTTTTGGGAGGCAGAGCATGTGGAATGCTGGGCTCTTTGGCTCTGTGGAGGTCACCTGAGAGGTATGTGTCCTACTTTCTCATCCTCCAACAAGCCAGCTACTCCCCTGCATGAGCAGCTCCACTGGCTCAGTGCTYCTCAATGCAGAGACTTGTGAATCTTCCTTTGCTGTGGCACTGGCAGAGTTCTGGTTGTGACTCGGGCAGCCTGAGGGCATTTACAGTAAATAAACAAACAAGAATAGGGATTGGAGCAGGATAGTTCGGCTTTTGCAAACCAGTCCCAGCCTGCTCCACTTTCAGGTGTCTCTCCAGTCTCCCCATCCCCAGAAGCTGGAGGGGTCTCTTCCCCACCACTGCAGCTCCTCCAAGTCTGGGAGCTATGTCCATACTGCATCTTCCTCCACCCACTGCCTGACAGAGGTTCAACACACCAACCCAGCCTCTGCCTCTCTGGTGTTTATGACAAACCCAAACCAATTGGCTGTGGCAGGAGCASCCACCTCAGCACCTCTAGCTGGTGAACTGCCACCCACCTCGGTCATGTCATGGCTGGCTCCAGCCTGACTGGCCCCCGTGGCTGTGGTAGGGCAGAAGGTCAGGGCCCCGGTCAGTGAGAGTTAATGTGACTCCATCTGACCACAGATCAGATCTGACAGGGCTCCGGGTGGAGCCACGCCGGGGTAGGGGCGGGGGGAGTGCAGAGGGCGTGGGCAGTGGAGTCTCCTCAGAGCTGTGGATCAGCGCTGGGCACTCTCCCCAGGGATTAGAAGGAAACTCCTCGAAGCTGAGAGCCCTCAGTTCAGCATGCAGGGATTGTGCATTCCAGGTTACCCTTCTAAAATCTTGAGAATTTCTTAGAGTCAGGTAGTTCCAATTCTATTTCACAGCATGAATCTGTATGCAACAGTTGGCTGAGGTTTAATTGGTTTGTAAAATAAGTTTATTTGAATATATTATTTTTCTCCCACTTTATAAGYCTGTGGGCAGTTGAAAGCCAACAGCTGTGAGCACAGCCTTTGCCAGCTTGGAAGTGGAGCTGGGGAATTGCAGAGATGGTGACACCCCATGGAGGGAACAAAGGCTCCTCAGAGAGTGATGCCACCCCAACAGGCACTGCTTGGTGCCAGTGGTGGGACTGGCTGGGCTCTGACAGTTGAGGTTGGCAGGACTTGAGATGCCCAGGGTCACAGGCACCCCCCAAGACCCCTTGGCATGCTCCTCCTTTAACACCCACAGTAACTTGCATTAGTTTGAGCACATGTTGGACCTGAAGCCCAAAGAGCACCAGAAATTCCTTTCCCAGTTCCTCCCCACCACACACTTGCTGCTCACCTCTCAGCAAAGGTTAGGCCGGGGAATGTCTTCCTCCTAGCAGGGACTGGCTGCTCTTTGCTGAAAGCCAAGGTGATGTTCTGCAGGTCTGCAGCTTAGCAGGGAGCTCCACTGTGTGGCCTCCTCTCTGCACCCTTGTGTCAGTTCCGTARGGATACAGCTCCTGCTGCAACTGTATCCCAGCAGCTGGGGCTCCCACAGCCCAGCTCTCCAGTGCAAGAAGGACCTTTCCCTCCTCGAGCTGAGGCTCCATGGTAGCACTGAGCCCCACCAGCCAYTGGCTCACTCCCACCAAGGAGTGGAGAGGGCAGAGCAAGCTCGYTGTGCCAGTACAGAACCACGAGGGCAGGGGTGCCGCCCAAGCCCTGCTCTACCACAGCATTCTCTGCTCCTGTCAGCTGCTGCTCTCCTGCCCTCCCAGCACCAACCATGCTCTCTGCTTGACCATTCCTGTGTCAACCTCCCAAATCTCTGCAATTCCCCCCTGTATTTACAGTTCTCATCATTTGTAAGATGCTTAGCTCCCTTCTACTGGCTGCCACATCCCCTTGAGCTTCATAAAATTAACTCCTTCCTTCATGGGCAGATGCCAAAGCTTTAGTTCTCTTGCTGGCCAACACAGGGGACACCTACTCCTAGCCYCTGAGTCACCCCTTAAAACAGGAACCTGAAGAGATAATAAGCCTGCCGCTGAGCAACAGCAATCAGTAAATTCTTTACCAGGAGATTAAAGAGTTCCAGAGGCCAATGTCTGGTCATGGGCAGAGATCTCTGTTGAGATCCTCCTCAACAGAGAATCCTCCTAGGCTTAGGTTCAACTTCCAGCCACTGAACTGCACTGAACTGTCCAAGGAACTGAGGTGGTGGGAGCACAGGCAAGCAAGGAAAAAAGCAAAGGAGCAGGGAAGCAGCTCTCCACTTTCTCTGCATATGGTACAGCAATGCTCCAAGTCCTGCTCCAGACCACACCTGAGCATTCTGGAATGAGCAGTGGCCTGGTGTGTCACAGGGCAGTCACTAAAGGAGCWGAACAGCTTAAACAGGCAACATTTGGCTTAGCTTGCTTAGCTGAAGCATGGATCTAAGCACTAGCTACCACTGAAAATGCTTCTGGCCTCCAAAGTGCAGCACAAGAGAGCTGAGAATCCCAAAAACATTACCAAAAAATCCRACTCTGAAAGGAATCCCACACTTCCACCACTTTACAAAAACATCARAGACCAGAGGACACAGAAGCTACACAGTGGATTATTCAGGCAACATTTATTGGAGCATTTCAAGTATACAATGGTTTTACTGATGGCTGTGAGCAGCTAAGATGCAGACAGATGCCAGCAGGGAAGGGTGACCTAGAACTAGCAGGCTATGCAATTCTCATGGTAAGTTAATGATTTCAGCTGATAGGAGAGGAAAAGAAAGTAGCAGACTACAAGTTTGAACAAGTTTGGAGATAGGGAGGAGAAAATAAAGAAGCTTTTATTTGAGATCATTTATCTAAATTGGCCACTCACAAGCAGCAGAAGCTGTCTGCTATTGCACTCTTCCCTTGGCATCCCAAGGACCTAAAAAAGCCAGGGTGTTTCTTCCATCAAGAACACAGATTTTCCCTGGTAAGAATGGAGGCTGGCCCTGGCTCAGCACTTGGAGATTGAGATCCCTGGCTTTGAACTCCCAGTGAGAGCCAGGCTGTGGCACTTCCACCAGCAAGGAGGCAATGCAGGCTTGCAGCAAGAGCACATAAACTATCAACCCCTCACTATAAGGCAGCATTAGGTCAGGACTTGTTTTGGGTGCCTGAGCTGTTTAGAGAAGCAAGGACCACATGGCAACAAGACTACAAGGTCCTCTGACAAGAACAAGGACTGTGCGTCTTTCCCAGGAACTATTTCTGAAAGACATGTTCTTAAAAAAMATCTTAAAGCAGACTCCCCACTGATGCACAAAAGGGGCACGACTAGGGAGGGACTGAGCTATGAAGTGATCAAGCACCTCCAAAACCAGAGGCTGTGTACTCCACCCGATTTGCAAGTTGGTACTTCTGCATTTAAGGTAATAGCTGCCTCGATTGTGTTTTAGTCTCCTGCATTTATGAACAAGGAGCAGTTGAATTCAAGAGCTTGAAACCAAATTGAAACACTAACTTCTTACAGGGTATCTCCAGAATGACTCCTTCRAGACTACGAAGCTCTGAGGTATGTGATGGCAACTTGGTAGTCAGGCAGGCAGAGTGCAGTGGAGCTTCTA